AGCTTAGCACAGTGGCATCAGTCCCTGCCTGTGCTCTAGCTGTGTTACAGCCATCTCTGTGACTTGTTTGGGACTCCAGTGATCCAGGGACTGTTGTAGACATTGTTTCCTAAGTCTGTGAACATGCTTACTGATTATTTTTGCCTCATTTATTTTAGCTGCTTCTATGAGGTGAAATATCCTGCTATTTCTGGACTGTTTTGTTGCTTGGGCTCTTGTGCCTCTTGGATGTTGATTGTTATGTTTTCACCTTAGGGCAAAAATCTTATTGCTTCAGCTCCACAAAGAGGTAAGATTTGGGTAGTGGGGAAAGTGGAACTTTTTTGTTCACAAATTCAGAACAAAGATGTGAAAACACTGGTATTTCCGTGATTTGGTATTGACCTTCCAAATGAGAAAGGCTGAATATAGCATGACCTTTGAAGCTGTGAAGTATGGGGAGTAGCAGTATGTGGTTTTGTAGCAGGAGGCCTATGTAAGAATATTAGCCAAGCTGAGAGCAATCAGACTTATATCACAAAGGAAAGGATGCTTTGTCATAAGCAGAACAGATCATAGAAAAAGATCCCAGATACCTTGGCTCAAAGAATATTTCAGACTGATGAAGAAACTAAAACACAGACACGTATGTAATGATTTTCTTAGCTTGCCTGCAGTTTCCTTATGCTAGCAAAGGATAGTGTCCGTCAACTTAAGCAGTATCTGCATATCTTTGGTATGTTCATGAATAACTGCATTATAAATCTGACACAACTGCACTTGGGCACTTCAATGGGAGGTGGTCTTGTAATTTCAGAATTGAATATAATCTCTATCTTGTAAATCCAAGTATAGTCTTGGTATAATTTCTGACCATATTTAGGACATTCTAGAGACAGAGACATGAAATGACTCCAAAAACTCTGGTATGAAGGAAGAAACAGCTTGTCCCTTGGAGAAGGCAAGAGTGACATTTAGAGGATGGTTCTTGATTTGTTTATGGAAGGGGCTGTGCAAATCTATTTTGATGAACTCGGTGACCAAGACATCCGTTCCAGTGCTGCATTTAGGTCTTTGAGCTAATGAGAGAATGGTGTGTGGGGGGTGCACAGGAGTTGCAACCCATCACTCAAAATCCAGCAGTATTATTGGTTTATTAAGGAAATTAGTGTGGGTTTTTGTTTCAAGCAGCTCTTATCAAGTATCTCTCTGAGCTTTATAGGCTACAATGCTTATTGTAAGATCTCTTCTTGGTTCTGGCAGAAGTTAGTCTGTATCAAAGAGACAAGGAAACCATGCTAGAGAGAAAGGAAGTGACCTACTTAAAGTTGTAGAGGAGGGGGAAACCCAGCGTAAGTCAGAACTGTGGTCTCCTTCATTTCACTCATAGGCAATTCTTCCTGCAGCACAAAGATAACTTCTAGTCTCTACAGTCTAGAGCCTGTTCAGATCCTACCTTCCCTCTTCCCTTTTTCACAGGGGCTCTGTTAAGGAGCTGCAGTTCCACTAGCTGCTCTTGTGTGTTGAGGAACAAATAAGCCTGGTTGATTGATTCCTATTGCTAATTGGTATGCTAGAAGGAAAACCTAGCATGCTGCAAGGAGCATTTTCTGTAGACCATAGGGACTGTGATGAGGAAGGGGTAGGAAAAAATGCCTGGAAGGCAGTGAAGAAAGCTCTCCCAAGTACTACTTAGCTCTAATGTGTCCCCATTTGTACTGGATGATACTTCCTTGTTTGTCTGTAGCTCCTTCTCACTGGCTGAGCATGTTTCAGAGGCTTAGGGATTCTGACTCAATTTCCTATGTGCCTCCATGCTGAAAGATAGTTTTCATTTGTTATTGAACAGTGCTGAAAACTCTATCAGAGAAAAGTGACATAGTTTACTTAAAGCTGCTTGATCAGTCAGAAACCAAGTGTTTCAAGAGTGTTGCCTCTCCTTGGAAATTGGCCTCTGAGGAAGAGGAGCTGTATGTTGCCAGCTCAGTTCAGAGGTCACATATCAAATACTTGCAACAATGTCCTCTCTGAGTTTTTAATTCAGCATTATTAATTGGTATTATTTAGCAACTATGTTGGAATGAGTAAAAATTCCTGACATTTTTTAGCTGCTTGTACACTGTTAGTGGGGACGTAGTAACAAAATTAAATTAGTTGCTCTGAATTACATGGACTCAGTCCTCTCTGCATTTAAGAGTTTCAGCACAGATTGGCTGCTGTGTGATGAGGATAGCTACTGGGCAGGGGTTATACTGAGTTGTCTTTGATCTAAAGTCTCCAAGCACTTACTCTCTTAAAATGGGAAACCATCATGTCCTTGTGCATAACTGGATGAGTTCACCTCCTGCTCTTCAAGGAGAGACCACGACAAGATCTGCTGCTGCAACCCACAGCCTTTTCCTCCCTGTCTTACACCTCCCCAGTCTTATGAAAAATCTCTGTAAGGCTGCTGCATTAGTGCTGCCTCTGCCCTTGAGGCTGATAGCTTGCCAGTTTGATATGAAATTACTCTTCTGTCCTTTCTGTCCTTTGTTTTGCCATGAAAGGTATCAGATCTGTGCCATAATACATCACTCTCTTTCATCCTTGTCCCCATTATTTTCCTCCATTTTTGATCTCTCATGAAAGGTTGCTTTTCAAAAATCAGCTCCATCCTTATTTTTTTTTTTTTTTATGAGCAGGGAGAGAGGGGGTATGGGGTGGTAGATGAAATGAACAATCCAGTAAATTAGTATTGGTTTATTTTTCTCTTCCATACTTGATGTTTCTGTAAATTTTTAGGTTGGGGAGAGCACAAACTCTTTTCCTTGGACCTCTTGTACACCATTTGCTTTCACATTTCACCTAGTTAACCTTGTATTGAGACTTACAGCTTTGATTTCAGTTATAGCCACCTTAAGAAACAAGACCAATCTTAATTAAGAGATAATAAGAATATCCACAGACTCCCTAGGTAGCTTTTCCAGTAGTTCATCATTATTAAATATATATTCCAATTTGGCATGCCTGGATGCTGCTTCTAGGCATTGTGTCCTATTACGTGGTTTTCCACAATATGCTGGAGGACTTGTAGTACTTTAGCCCTTCTGCCCAGGAAGCTGAATCCTCTCTGTGGTTGAGTTCTGCAAAGGTTGTAGTGAACGAGCTCGTCTCTGGGCGAGTTCAGTTGTTTGTGTTCTGTACCATCTACAATGTCACATGAACTATGAGCACTAGTCTAGACTTGGACTTGACAAGCACTAAAATGTCCTGCATTAAAGATCTAGGACTGCCCCAGGTCTAAGTCTTATTTTAAAATGCTTCATGTTTGTGCTCTACATCTCTGTGCTTGCTGTTACAGAAAGTAAGGTCCAGACTTGCTTTAATAAAGAGCAAATGAAGCATTTAAAGTATGCCCATTAAATAATCACCATTCACTCTATGTACCAAATAAGACAAAAGATCTTATGATTGAAAAATTGCATATTGTTTTAAAGACTGCAGATATAAAAAATAATGGGGGCTGGGGAATTGATGTAGCAATACAGTGCAACCAGTGTTAACAAAACATAAATGGACTTTGTGGTCTGTTCAGGGATCTGTTTCATGAACTAATACAGTAGCTGCTGGCTATAACTCTGTGGACTGACATAGAGAAGATACTCCCTACCCCATCTCTCTATCTGTTTAAAGAACAATTTTTCTTTTTCTGGGAAGTATATTAGACAGATAAACCACATCATTCTATTGTACTCAAGAGTTTATAGAAAATTTAGCATGTTGCTAAGTCAAAACTATAAGGCAATGCAGTAAATTTTAAGTAAGTTTAAAGATGACAAATATGTTGATCCTTGCTTTAATTACAGTTTCATTTTGCTTCCACTGAAATGGTGGTTGCTGTATCAAGGAGCAGAAATCCAATCTAACTGCACTCCATTAAGTTGTTAGCTTTTTTTGACAATTAATAATTATGAACACTAATGAACACCTAGTGCTCTATGTATAGGTTAAATAATTACCTGCTCCAAAACATCTGCCTGAAAAATCTGTAAACCTGATGGAACAGGAGGTGTTGTCCCTAGAAAGAAGAGTTTGGCATAATTCTTCAGTCAAAAAACTTCCAGTAATTCTTCTTTCATAGACACTGCACACTGAGAGTATGTCAATATGAGAAAGTCAGAGTGACAAGGAACATTTGCAGGCACTGGGATACCATCACCTACGCTACAGAGCTGTTCCAGTGCCCCCCAGAAACAACCTGAGTGCTGTGAAATGATCTTTGCACAATATTTTGGAGGTTTAAAGAATTTGCTATTCAGGCTGCAGCATGCCAGTTTAACCTCAGCATGCAGAACATTTCCAGGCACATTTAGCCTACTAATATAAACACAGCCTAAGAGATTCAGAATGTAGTGACAGAGTCCCCAGAGCGAGAAGGAGAATGGGTCTTCAGTCAAGAGGTAATAAAGCACCTTTCCCTTCCCAAAACTCTTGTATTCTTGAGTTTTTAATTTGGATTGCATACTGATTTAACTTATTTTTTTATTATTTCAAAAAGCAGATGAGACTCTGTCCTGCTTTAAGACAAATCAGGGAGGAAACCTCTGAATGGTGTCTCTCTAGAAGGCATATTCAAGTGGCCCCTTCCCCTACTGGTTTGGGAAAAGGTTTTCTTGGAGAAAAGTGGAAAAAACCTGTTTATTTAACAAGAAAAGTATTCATGAGTATAAAAAAATTAATAATATTAACAATAAAACCTCCTGCTGTTCTGAAGAGATGGCAAATTCAGAAAGTCCTTGCTGTGAGCTGGGCTCGCTCAGTCTCTTATCAGTCCCTCCAGTGCTGGAAAACACCGAGGCCCAGGCTCTGGTGGGCCACAGGTGTGAGCTTCCAGTGCTCTTCTGAATTTCTGGTCCAGAACAGGGCCATTCAGTCCCAGAGAAAGGGAAAAAAAAACAAAACCAAACCAACACAGTCCAAGGAACTCCTCTGCCTCAGCTAGCTAAAAACTAACTAAAAGTAAAGAAGAGCTCTCTCCCAGTGTCCCTGCTGCAGACAACAGAGTCCCTGAGAAGGAAAATGTGTGGAAGCAAGTCCAGTTTCTGAAAACAAACTGCACACTTCTCCTCACCCTCTGCTGTCACAACGAGTCTTAAAGTTGCAGAACTTGATAACCAGCATAAACAGAACAGGCAACTGGCGATACAAGCATCATAAGGTCACCCCAGGACAGACTCTTACCTTGTAAAATCTTTTCTACCAAACAATGTAAAAAACTAATGCAACATTATAACTATAAAATATAAATTATAAACTTTCAAAGCCAGAAATAGGTTTTGCTTTTATTTATGCTGCTGTTCTGCATAATTCTATACATCTATATTTGATAAAAATTATAAAAATATTTAAAGTGTATTATTGACTAAGACCAGTCAAATACTGGTGTAATTAATTATTGGCACTTCTGGCAAAATGTAAGGTTTGATTTTGGTTTCTATACAAGTTTTTCAAGCAGTAAGTCAATCTTCAGAACTGAACAAGACTACCAACATGTTTCAAGACTAGAATGCAGAAATTTTGTGTAACACGTTCTCCTTGAATTTGTATTTGTCTTGCATTTTGTTGTTATCTTCAGACAATCATTCTATTTGAAAAGAAGATGCTTTTTTATTTTTTTTTATCCTATGGAAGACCAAATATTGTGATGTGAACTTTTTGATTTATTGGAGGTACTCACTGAGAACTGGTTGGTTAAAAAGATATGTTCCCAAAAGTCAGTGCAAAAAGGAGAGCTCTAGAAAGTCTGTTCTCAGTAAACTTATTCTTCTTGGATTTGCATCAAGGTACTAAGGAGATCCAGTCTTTGGCAGCCAAAGAGGGCATTGGCGAGTTTTCCAACTGTAGCACCTTTAGAGCCTTCCCTCATTACCCATTTGAGCAGCATTTGGTAAACCTTTTCTTTTAGTCCATCTCGTTCATAGTCATGATCTATTTCATCTATCTCAGGATCACTGAAGCCCAGTTTCCGAGCACAGTGCTTCCACTGCTTAGCCAGCTTTTCTCTCACTAGATTCAAATGCTTTTCTGTCAGGACAGTAGTATTGTCTGCAAAAAGAAGAGTGTAAGAGAATTGCATCATTCAACAGTTCTGCTCCTTTCACTCTCTCTCTTCTATCCTCCCCCAACTATTTATTGGTAATATCTGGAGACAAAATCTTGGTGATGCAATCAGACATGGATTTCATATGGAAGCAGCATAACCCAGCGAGGCAAGAAATGTCCAGACAGACCATGTGTATTCACAGGTCAGTTGCTGGACTTGCTCTATGATCTGAAGCTATCAGAGGTTGTCACTTAAACCTGCAAGATTGAAGAAAAACCTTTCTAGAGTTCTTAGAATTGTATATGTTTTATATTCTGAGACACAAATGTCACTTAGGATACAGGGGATAGTTTAATTCAGTACTGACCAATGAAAATATATTACATTTCAAAATTGTCCAACTTCTACCTGAATGAAGTTGTTGTGGCTCTTGAATATATGGTTTAACTTTTAGTTTTCCCTGTGTTTTGTCAGGCACTGGGCTCTATAATCTGCATGGGTCCATTCCAACTCGGGATATTCTACAACTTAAACTAGAAATCAGGTGAGGATCTCCAATCTTAGCCTTGCTTCTACCCATTTGAGTGTTTTATACATTCCAAACCAAATGATTCTCAATTATATGGGGTGAATACATAAAAAATAGGGAGCTATTCTCTTACCAAATGTACCCATTGCTTTATAATGTGTATAAATTGCTTCCATAGCAACAGGACAAGTGCTGACATGCGGGTTCTGCTCTTCAATCTTCATGTGACTGTAGGATCCAATTTGAATTCCAGAGCTGTTATTTATGTTGTACTTGATTGAATCATCTGTATAAGGAACTTTAACACAAATTTACGAACAACAGCATTAGGTTCAAATATCAAGAAGTAACACAAGAAGGAAGAAGTTCCACTAATAAGGGGAGTGATATTCATTGCACTTGATGTAGAAATAGCCATTTACTGGCAACTGTGCTGTGAGCGTATTTTCACTGTGCAGTGTGACACCAATGTACTTTAGTGAAAGCCCAGTCTATTTTAAGACAGAGTGCCACAACCAAGCTGATAGTTACTAGACTGTAAATAATGTTCTCTGTGCCTTGGGAGTGCATAGTAGCAGTCTTGCTTTCTGCTGCCTAACAGCTTCAGGAGGCCAGCCTTGACTCAAACACTCCTTTCGTTTAAATCTTAAAGCCTCACTTCTGCCTCTCAGCTCTACTTTTCATAGATGTAAGTTCAGATTTACAGTCATGACTTCTGAGTTCTGTGAGACTACAGCAAATCATTTCATGTTGCTCATAAGATATGATTACTAAAACACATAATCTTTTGTTTACTGTTGTCTGATTTACACATGCAGCATTAAGCTAAGTCACTATTCATGTTAGCTGATGTCAGTTTTCTGTTCTCTTGACAGTGTTTTCTGAGCTCTGCTTGGATAATCATCCACTAAACATTCTAACTCTAGCTTAAATGGTAAATCTCACAACCTGGGTCTAAAACTGAAGTACAGATACTTAGAATGATACACCAAGCTCTGTACTTTCCCTGAAATCATGGTTATGTTCTTGTTACACACTCAATTGCAATGTGAAAGTGTGAAAATCTGTTATGTATGAAAATCTAAGTGCACTTAATATATGCTAACCTGAGACTGCAAGTCAGAAATATTATATGCATGATTAGATTGATGAAGTTGCAAAAAAGGAAAGCATTTTATCATGTCTCATAACATTATTACTTCTACTCATAACATTATGATTCCTGTATCCTTTTATTTTTAAGAGCTAGAGGACTCAGGAAACACATCATATTTGTAGTTAAAAACATAAAGAAACCTCATGTTTGCTATATTCTTATCTAGCAATAAAATGAATTTAGCGTAAGATATGAAAATGTATACAAATAATTTGTCAACACTACAGTATTAACAGTAAAAATTACTGTGCTTATACATATTATATCTCCTTTCCCAAGCCTTTACACTTAGCAGCTTCTCAGGTTTGGGTCATCATTTAAGGGATGCAGAGTCAAGAAAACAGAAACCTGCTCTTTCAAGTTTTCTTTGTAATATAGACCACTTAGAAACTGGACAGGCCTTTGAAAGGGTTAATTAAAGAATTCAGAGTGCTCCAAGCAACACAACTTGAAAAGAGCATATATTAATAACTCCTGAAGGATATTACATTATTTTAGGGGTTCAAGGCAGTAGAACTGTAGAGACCTGTGTCCCAATGAAGGCCGATCAGTGTGAAGCCTGTAGCTAGAAATTTGTATTAAAATCCAGAGCAAGATAGGACAAAGCGTCCCAAATGTGTATGTGTGATTCCAGAGCTGGGGAGAGTGACAGCAACTTGAAGTTTAATCTAAGAAAGTGACTAGTTTAGGTGTCCAGTAGATTTTAAAATTCTTACATAAAAAAATGTATTGTCCTTGATTTATCAAATACACATTTCATGGTGTGTTTAGGTCTTTCTAGAGATAGGAACTAGTTTTTACCTACTGATAATGAAAACTCCAGCTATGGTTAGAGGTATTTAGCAATAACAGAAATTATTTCAAGTTCCTGAAGTATTTTGCTTCATTGCTCAGGATGCAATGCACAGCCTGTTGCCTGCCAGGGCAGATGAAGGCCACAGCACTTACCTGGGCTTACTCTGGATGCACTAGGATAGTATGGAAACGTTCCCCTTGTGAAAGAAGTGGAATCCCTGTAACCTGTAGAAAGAACAAAAAACAAAGAAATGCCAAAAGCATTATGTAAATAGAAAAGTAGATATACATAACAGTGACTGCCATATTTGTAACAATGTGAGTATACAGTGCTCTTAAATACAGAGATGAGAAGCTTTTTAATTAGCAGGATTATGTCTCCATTAATAACTTCAGTTTAAGCATGATCTTATTGTGGTTTTGCTGAGTTACTAATAACCTTAACCATCCTTGGATCTCAGCGAGGTCAATGGGCTTCCACATGGGTGTAGGAGTATCTGGCAGTGTGGGATCACAGCGCACTGCAGTTACAGACTGAGCTGCCTTGTATGAGGTATTCAAACCGGCAAATTCCAAACTCCCAAGTGTGAGTTTTCGAATGCTCACAGCTGAGTTCTGCAACTCATACCGGGGCAGCAAGAGCAGATGGGTTACTGTCACCCAACAAGTCAATGAGGAGCTGAAATGCAGCTCTTGTGCACCTCTGGTATCTGCTACACTATTTCATGCACTATTTCATGTTTTCTTTATTTCTTTCAAACAGAAGATTTTCCTGTATTAGTGATGAAAATTCTAATGCCTGCCTTCTGACATGACAGCCCTCCAATTCATTTCAGTAAATGAACTCACATAAACAACTAATCACAGCCTCTGCATAAATAATTTAACAGAATAACACCTTTGTGGCATTCTGCTTGTAAAAAGCTAAGCATCCTTCATTTTCTTGTGAGATGACCTGGAAAATAACACCATGCTAAAAATATCCAAGAGTAGGAGCAGGCATCTCATGCTGTCTCTAGTTCCTCAAAGTTATATCTTGTATATCTTATCTCTAGTTACCACTTATTTATATGTTTTGTTAATGCCCAATATTCTCTTCTTTCTTTGTCTCCATACCTTTTCACTCCATGGCTTACCAGCAAACACCAGCAGAAGCTCTCCCTGAGCACCAGGCAGAGCTCTCTGAGAAACCAGTTACAAGCCTTAGCTCCTTGCTGGCTCCCTAGGTTCGAAAGTCTCTCAACTTGCTGCAAGTCAAGCTAAAAAATACCCATCTATTTTCTGAAATGCTACATGTGTTGCATGAGCAGAACCTATGGTAGGAATGTTACAGTTTTGGGAGTCAAAGTTCTCAGCTTTCCTAGAATGACTGGTAGCAGCTCCTGGTTTTGGGAGCTGCTTTAGCAGTACTTGCTGTCTGCTCTTCCTTGGCTGGTAGCTGAAGAGTCAGGTGCTGGGTCTTATGCTCTTCTGTTACACTGATGCTTTAGAAATGGCTCATCTGAAATTGGCAGCTTGACATTAATGAAAGCAGCACAATTAAGTCAAAGCTAGAGCATTTTAACTTTGAGTAAACAAAGAGAACTTAATGAAATAAATTCACCCTTGCTGTATTACAGACCAGCCTGCAATAAGCAGGTTGTTCCATGACCTACAAAACTCTCCTCATGACTTTACTGAATAGAGGAAAAGTGTGTTTTCAGAAACATAAGTGTTGGAGAAGGAGGAATCTCACCTGTATCTGTGTCTGAATTCTTTGAATACCGGTTTACATTTGTCTGTGACTGCTGGTTTTGTCCAGATTCTGGCACAGGAGATTTACTTAGGCTAAGGTTGCTGGCTGAACACAACCCATAGGCATCCACTGGGTTTCCTGTTGGAAGACTGTTGGGACTGGGCCCGTAAAAAACATCTACATTTCCCCTTTTTGGTGGTGTTGCAGCTGCCTGTGGCCAGATATTTGGATCAATGTTTGCCCGGAAATATGGATTAGTGTTTGATCCTGTTTTTTCAGCTCTTGGATATAGTTCATTCCTCTGAGAAGTAGGAGATGGCTTTGCAAAGGGATCACAGGAAACTCTCCGTTTCCTTTCCTCCTCTATCATTTCAGGGCTATATACAACAGGTGGAACTGCTTTATCCATCCGGCTCCCAAACGCGTGGTAGTTGTATTCATGCTGAAGTTTTCTTTCCAGATTATCAGCAGATGGAAATGAGGTCTCACAGCTCTCGATAGGCTGGTTCTCAGGGTAGGCAGCAAGCAGGGCAACATTAACCTCACTGGTCATGGGACCTTGAGAGCTGTGCAGAGAATTAGGCTGATCTGAAAGAGAAGAACATTAAATGTTTGAAAACATTCAAATGCAAGTGTTTGACTTGTTGCAATGATACTAAAATCTATTAACCTAATTTATTATTATTGTATATCTAAAAGGTTTCAATAAAACATTACTTCCAGCATAAGAAATTCTATAAAATAAAACACAGCTTTATTGACAAGTAGAATAGATTTTTATTTAGGAAGTACAGGTTTGCTTAAGCTATCTGAGTTAAAATCTCACTACCTTGAGTAGTGTCAGAATTCACTGCATACTCAGCTTATGTTGACATCAGCTGATAATTTTCAGCCATTGAAACAAACATTCCTGGTGGCATTTGTAGGGTCTGATTTACTGGTGTGTCTCCTGTGGCATTAACTGGAGTTTTATTGGTGCAAAACTGAAGTGTAACAGGATGGAAAATAATGCCACTGTAATAACAGGTGTAATTTCATACAGCACAAATAATTTTCCATTAAAATATTATTTAAAAATTATTATGTAAAGTGTCCTGTTGGGTATTTAGTGATGTCTCTTGTCCCAAAGAATGCATTTTTTACAAGTAATGTCTACCAGATAAAATAGTTTGTGCCATCTACATTTTTCAAACTAATTCTCAGTATCAAAGGAAGCTCTACTTCAGAATTGAGCTAGATGGAGTTATAATCTGTATGATGCTGTAGCATTTGAAGACTAAATAAGAAACATAAAAATCTGTTTGATACTACTTGTACTTATATTTTTAAGGGTAGGACTACTGATTCTTTCTTAAAGTTCTGAAAGCTTCACACATTTCTAAAAAATATCATACATTGCTTGTAGCAAGGGACACTTACAGAACACTGTAAAACTGGAATAAAGTGTATGTATGGGCTTCTATTTAGCTCAGATAATGCCAGTGAAATGGGTTCCCCCCCCAAATAACGTTGTTTCAGTCCATATTAGCCAGGACCAAAACTAATTCCTTATATTAGTACACCTTCAGTCAGACTTTCTCTGCTTGTTTTGCTACCACTTCTGGAGAGAAAGTGTAAGGAATGGCTAATACAGAAATAACCCCAAAGTGACAGCTCTTAGCAATTCAGTATTAGCATAAACTATATGGCACCTATTCTCCAGGGCAAGCTTGAGATGTAGGAACAGATCCTGTGGGATACTTTTCACTTCCACTGTCTGAGTGACGCCCATTGACTAGAGAAAAACCTCTGCCTATGACTGACAGGCTGACAATATGGCATCTTTCTACAGTAGAGATTCACAACAGTCTTGTACTTAAAACATGAGAGCATCTGCATTCTGCAGCAGTCATACATGATACTTTCTGCTCAGGAATTGTAACTACACTCACTTAAAAAATACATGAGTGGGGCTCCCTTAAGTGTATCAGTTCTACTGAGGAACAGTTGTAGCAAACCTAGTTTTGGGGAAGAATTTTTAGTTGCATTACAATTTAATATTATTAATTTGATCTTGTCTTAGGTAACTCAGCAGAATTTTATTTCCACTGGATTTTTTATTATTTCATGTAATTCAGTGTTTTTGCAAGTAAGATCCTGTGTCCTTCGACATTAAGAAACTTTGGTAAGAGAATTCCAGATACACTACTACAAAACTCTAACTGTATCATATTAGATATATTATCACAGATATATTATCAAATATTAGAGAGCCAGCCCTATAAAATCACAAAACATGCAACTCATCCAAGATTTGATGAAAGTATGAGAGAAAAGAGAGAAAAAAACCTATCTACTAGTGTTTCTCAGATTCCTTAGGGAGCAAGGTCCTAAACAAAGGAACACTTTACAATTATGTATCTTGGTCATATTCAGAGCATTCAAAAGAAACGATGGAGAGCAAAAAATAAAAAATAATTAAATTAAAGCCTACAAACCAAGCAGTTGGCATGAGTAAAGAAATGAAAGATTAAGTATGAAAAGTAATTATCAAAGTGACCATTGTAAAGCTTAATGTTTAACAAAATTTTTTGCATGGAAGAGGAAAGCAGAAAAGTCTAAAAGGAGATGAGTTTGAACTGTAGATGATGGAAAATTTGAAATTGTAAGTGTGACTTCTGGGAACAAATAACATATCAGTGATTACAATTCTTTCTGAGGTGCTGAATAATTGAGTCTCTTAATAACCCTTAATGGTAAGGTTACTTGCTTTGTACACAACTTCGTCTTTGGCAAATACACAGAATAATTATGTGCTAGTGACTTACCTACTTGACCATTGCTGGTATCTTCTGGTACAGCATCTATCTGAAGGGATTCCATGCTATGCAGCAGTTCATTTGACTCAGGCCACATTTTCTGCATGTAAGAAAGAATAAATAATTAAATTATAGGCAAAAGCTTAAACAAAGGGAGTACCTGTAGAGTATGAAACAGGACAGATTCACTGTGAAGTGACTTGGATGAACAGATTCTGTGAATCTCTGGGAAAAGATCCCATACTCATTCAGAGAGCACAGCCTGACTGGAAATACCTACTGCTTTGCTACAGGTGGGAAAAATATTTTCTTCAATGAAGTGAGGGAGGACTGCAATGTAACTGCAGTATATAATACTCTGAGTTGACCAAAAAATACCCTTGCCTACATGAATGTAAGCTTAATCCACAGTGGCTATAGTATATGGTATTTATTAGCCAGACTTTTGGCAACGAATCTTGGTGAGGGGATGCTGCTGAGGTAAAAGTAGCAAAAATGCATCCTGTTCTGTGGATCTATATTTAATAAGTTCATTCATCAATGGGGAAGAAGAGATGAGAAATAATTAAAATTCAGGAATAGGCACACTGACTTTTATAAAGATGATTAGGAATGTGGAGTTTAGAAGAAATTTTTAGAATGGATCAGTGCAATTTCCTATCTATAACCCTCATCTCACTTAACTAGAGTGAAGGCAAAATCTACTCCTGGTTCTACTCTTTTGATGTTCCCATTATTTGGTCTTTGCTGGAAGTTATTTTTTTTTTAACCTGGAAAAATTATTTCTCAACTTCCCAAGTCCTGCTTAATTATAAAATATTTTCCAAAAGTAGAGTTTGTGTTAGTGGTTTTTTTAAAAAAACTAATTAAACCCAAGAAGTACTTCCACAGATTAAAAATCAACAATTCCTACCTATCTCTTCCCCAAAAAATTGACTAACCTCTAAAAGCAAAAGGTGACATTCTAATGCACATTACAACCATAGGTCCTTGGATTTTACTTGAGTAACAGAATTGTTTGAACAGGGGGTTGAACCAAATGACTTCTGTTCCCTTTTGAAACCATTCTTTTAGTTAGGAGGCTTCCATGATTGCTGGGCAGACGGCAGGAAGGTTACGCCCAAATCCTCTAAGTCCTGTTGCTACTAAAGCTGTACTAGTAATTCACATAGTGACTTGTCTTGGATCCACTCTTCACAATCTGTGCCCTGACTGTAATGGATGCTTTCCTTCCTGAGAAAGTAATAAACTCACAGCCCATTTCAGTTGTCATTTTGTCCCTATGATATGAGAGGTGCATCTGCAGAGAGCTAATGCAGCTAGTAAAATTTTCCATTGTTCTGATTTGGGGCTGCTGTCATAAATTAGACATATATACAGCTCACACTGGGAGTTTGATCAAATCAGTCCAAGAAATCTGTTTCATCAGTTTCATTTTGCAAAACTCTGTTGCTTTTTTGAATTGTTACTGGTGCTTTGTAAACATCACATGAAATGACTTTCATTTCCACAGCTGAAGACTTGGTGAGAAGGAAGCACTTTAAAAAAAATATGAAAGAATGATTTCACAAAGAAGTTTGTTGTTTGGGGTTTTTTGTTAGTTTTTTTTTTTAGTTAAGAATACAGATATATTGTCTGTGAGTGAAGTCTATACAGTCAAGTAATTAAATTCATAAAATCTGTGATAAAAAGGTTCCATTATCAGCCCAGTTTTTCAAGAAGTTCTGATTCTCTTATTTTCAGTCAGGAAATGATTGTTTTAATCACATAATTTTTAAACTTACAGCCAGAAAAGTAAGAGAAACCAACTTGGATACTCAGGAGAACTACCTGAATTTAACCTTTACCTGTTAATATTACTGTGGTATAGCTTCCTGGTCTCAAGCAGGGTGAAACTCAATACAGACTGCCTGAAGGTAGGGCAAAAATAACCAAGAATTTATGAAGTTACTTTAAATCAGATTCTGCCACTTTTGAATTGCTAGGAATAATGTTTTATTTCATTAGTGAGACTTAATGGATATATGAGGAGCTTTTGCAAAATATCATCGTAGAATCAGTTTGCTGTTCAGGTGGAAACAGACCTTGGGCCCACCTCCTGCTCAAAACAGGGTCACTTATGGGATCGGAGTTGGGAGCTCAGAGCTTCGTGCAGTCGGGTTTGAAAACCTCCAATGATGGTGACTGGACAACCTCTTTAGGTAACTTGTGCCCCTGCTCTGCCCTCCTCAGAGGGAAAAGTTTTAGTTTTTTTTCATCTCACTCTTACATCCAGTTTGAGTCTCTCTTGTTTCTGTATTTCTCTTTTTTCCTTTAGTCCTCACATGATGCATTGCTGGGAAGAGCTTGGCTCTATCTTCTCAAAGTCCTCACACATAGAGGCAGGTTGCTATTTCTTTGTCCTTGAAAGACATTACATGGCTGGGCAGAAGTAGTAATCTCCTATTAGGACTAACAAGGTCTGAGCAGATCTGCTGCCTGTGACACTGCTGGTGCCAGGCAGGCTGTGGCTGGTGCCCAGGTTGCTGCTCTCCATCACCCTGACGTGCTTCTCGGCAGTGCTGCTCCCTAGCTGGGCACCCCTGGTTGACGCTGAAGCCAGGGTTTATTTAATCCCAGGTGCAACACGTTCCACTTGTGCTTTCTGAATTTCACAAGGTTTCTCTCACCACATTCCTCCAGCCTGCAGCTATCATCCTTGTCCTCGTGACTGTATTGACTGGTCCTTTTAGTTTGGCGTCACCTGCACACCTCATGCATGCTCCCTTGCTTTTGTCAGGTCACTGACACAGGAGTAAACCAGATCACCAGCCCCCTGCACGCCTGCAGCTGCTTCTGGCCTGCAGGTGAAGTAGGACCCATCAACTGCTCCCCTCTGGGACTTGCCATCCAACCTGTTTTTCTGCTCATCCAGACAGCAACCTCTGAACTTGAATACAAGAGTAGTTTGGGAGAGTGTTGAAAACCTTCTGAAGGTTGAGATAAATTACACGCACTGCTCTGCCCTCATTCACAAATCCAGCCATTTTATCACAAGGAAATCACATCAGTCAAGCATGATCAGTCTTGAAGTGGCAGAAGCTGCCCATAATTGAGGTTGGGAAGAAGGAATGTAAGCGACCTTAAAATGCTTAGAAATCTACTCACTTTTAAATTTTTCAGATCTTCTTCTATATTTTTTCCTAGATTTTGATAGTAAAATGGCTTGTATCTTCCACTGATTTCTGCAAAAACGAAAGAACTAAGTGAAAGCAGGTTTCAATGGAAAGTAGAAGTGACTTGTACTGTTAACAATCTTGATGGAAAAGGATTGAAGAATGGAGACTTCTATGATGTCAGAAACAAGAAAGGTATACATACATTTGTAATTTGTTCACGTAGTACATTTAGTCTTAAACAGTAACAAGAACAGGGTGACTTCTAAGGATTTGTTGTTGTATTGCTTTTTAGGGTGAAATCTGTCTATGATCAGTAGCTGAGAGCATCTTTCCTTGACTTGTATATGGGAAAACTAGAAGCTAAGACCCAATACAAGCATAGGCTTAATCTATTAGCAGTAGATTATATATGTCAAATATGGATACAGTAGGTGGATTCCTCATGGGAAACAAATTTCCTCTGAGTATTTAAGTATATGCCTACTGTATATGAAGCTGTTGGGGTCCCTCTAAATACAAACCTCAATTTCCTGTTATTTGTTGGGGTCTTTTTTGTGGGTTGGGTTTTCTTTCCTCTTTTTGTTGTTTTGGGGTTTCCTGGGTGGTTGGTTTGGTTTTTTTTTGTTTTTTTTTTTTTGACACTATGTATTGAGGCAGAAAGAAGAGACAGTGAGATATAGAATTTTGTCTTATTTGCTCTTAGTCTCCTTTACAGACCATTCAGCCAAGACTTCTACCAATTGGAAATGTTTTGCCATCTGACCATATGAAAGGATGATTAGCTATCAAAGTCAGTCAGATTACTTATGGAAGGATAACTAGGACAGCTTTTGAATCTAGAGTATTTCAAATAAGATATTTTCTCAGTCATGGTCAAAATATACTATATCCCTTGATGTTAGTTTTTATATAAATTTCAGCAATAATATTATATTATGCTGGAAATAAATTATCAGGGACAAAGTGTCTTAATTAGCTCCATTCACTTACTAGGATTTCTCAAACCTTGAAATGCTGGATCAGATTGCATTTTTGGTCACAGTACAGAGAGCATGCTTTACAGAACATGTGCATTGCTATTTCAGTTTAAAAAAACCCCAACCTTATTTCAAGAGGAAAATACATACTCAGGTTTGTTTTGCTTCATTATAAATGATCAATTGATGCAAACAAATACGAATCTTAAAGTAGTGCCTTACCTGCAAAGGTTGGACGTTTCTCTGAATCTTCATCCCAGCATTGCTTCATTAAGTCAATAATTTCCACTGGACATTTATCAGTGATCTCCTTTATGTCTGGTCTGTTTCCATTCATGATGCCAAAGCAAATCTGGGTTTCATTTATACCATCTGAAAAACAAAATTTCCTATCAGGTTCTGTCCATGGGTTTTGCTACCTATCCATAGGTAAAAGAAACAATGAATTGGCTCCCTGTGTGTTTATGGGTAGGTAAAATATGACTTTAAAGAGGTCCAGGTTACAGCTACAAATCTTTTATATTAGTGAATTTGAATCCACTGCCCTGACTTCCATGATTCAGAGATTTATTTTAAGATTAGTGGATTTACTTTTATATGTAAGACGTGCTGTGTGAGTAAGGGTGACAGCTCTTTAGAACCTACATCTCAGGTGCATCAGCTCTGCACTAGATATGAACACAAAGATGGCCACATTTAGCCATTTAAATAGCAAAAAATCCATTCGAAATTATAAACATGTTATTCTGCAATTCCACAGTTGGCTCCTATTGTTCTACGTAAGCCCATTGGTGCATGTTGAGAAATCAGCACCACACAACTGAGAACTGGTAATGGACTGTGAGATCATTCTCATTTCCATGTTTAACCAGTCCACTTCAGGAAATAGTGTCTATCAAAGTTTCCATCCTGGCCCACCTGAGATTTGCCTAATTTCTGCCACCAAGTCTGGTCTGTGCCCACACCATGTAGATGTGAGTAGTTTCAGCTCATGGCTGCATTTTATTCAGGTGTTCTCATCCATGCTTAGACGGATGCAGGAATGATGCAACTAATTCCTCTCACTGGCCATGAGGTGCCAAACCAGTGTTACTCTAGGCCATGGATGATGCAATCTACTAATCTCAATTTTATCACTTTAAATGCTTAATATTTGTAACTTATTTTTCTGATAGCATCCTTTGGGAAGTAACGTACTTTCGTATGGCTCTTTGCTAGCAAAAATTGCCCAGATCACAATGCCAAAGCTGTAAACATCTGATTTCTCCACTGGTTTAGCATTAACAGAGCGTAAATGCTCTGGGGCCATATAGAAAAGTGTCCCAGCATTGTTCTGACAAGTGCTCTTCATTTGCTTCTGTCGGACTGCTTCTTCTTGGGTCAGCCTACTCCAGCTCTTAAAGGAGGCAACGCCGAGATCTGCAATCTGAAAAATGAGACACTTCAGAGCTAGTGCTGTAATGAAGAAGAGATAAACAAGTATTGCACGCAGTGCTCAATTTTATCAAGACTTAGTACTAATCTAACAACTTATCTAAAAATTAATTAGTGAAAAAATACAACTTAGGAAAACAATTTTATTTTTTTCTTGTTTTTCTTTGGGTTTTTTTGTTTGTTTTTTGTCCTAAATAATGTATCACTGCCAATTGGGAACCATTAGGTTGAACTTTTATTATTAATTGTGGAACACTTGCACAATGTGAGGATAGAAGAAATTTGGTTTCACTCATATTGACAATCGTATTTGAGGCCTGCTTTCAGCACTCATGGGAGAACAGAAGATTCATAGGAGAAGAATCTAACATTCAGACCTATAATCAATGAGATGGGCAGATATGCCTCCTTCCTTCACTGCCCTTTCCATTCAGATTCCATTTCATTCAACCACTTTAGATCTTCCTTCAGAAAAGGGAAAGAAGAGGATCTAAAACAATGTGATATGTATAACAAAGAGACAAGGGAAAGAATAGCATGGAATAGGTTAAAGCAGAGATACCTGGGTACTGTGTGCTTGACAGTGTGATATTACTGAAACTTTAGGGTGTGGTTTTGCAACTAGACTAATGGCTGGTGGTGAAGAAAGTAATCCTTCCTTCCTTTCCCCCAGTCTCCTGTTATGTGCTCACTCTGCTCCTCTTGCTCCAGCATTGACACTTACCTGGGAAGACATAGTGCAAGGCAGTCAAGCAGCTTGCTGAACCAAGTACTCCCCAACAGAAGAACAGCACTGCCAACAAGGTAAATGGTAATCTGCTGGTTTGGTTTCCTAAATCAAGGCACCAGTAGCACCAGCGCTAACACAAGGGAACAGGAGGTCAACAGGAGAGGAAAGCTGAAAGAAATTTGGCCTGTCTCTCTTGGACACAGGCAGCTGTCAAACAGAGTTGTGTAACTCAGTTACTTCAAAAACTTCAAAACCTTGCCTCACTTCTAACACTTTTCTCTCTTATTGCCTCTAACTAGCTAATTGTTCCTCTTGAATTTCTGAGGCCTTGGGCTACGTTTAGAGGTTGTGTATTCAGAGGAAATCTAGGTGACATTCTACTGAGGAAGTAGGAGCCCAGGTTCATGTCTACAAGTGAGAGGAGGTCTAGTGATAGAGAAGGATATGACATAAATCTTCCTACATTTACAATTTCCTGGAACTATTTGCCTAATTATTGACAGTGTTAGACACATTCAAGCAGGTAGACTGTACAACAGCTGCCTTAAATTATACTTTTGATCAAGCTCCTTAAATAAGTCTTATCTGATTCTGAATTTGATCCCATGTTCCAGATAATTTTTTGTCACGAAATGTGATGATAGCCTAGTTTGATCTTGTCCATATAAGCGAGCTGAAACCCAACTCCTCATACAATTTATATTTAAAGCAGATCATGATGGGGTTTTTATTTGTGGAAAAGAAATAAATTTATAATTCTTATCTGCAAGCTCCTCATACTGCACTTGCTACTATATTAACCTTGTTGAAGAACTTCTCACTAATTTATGAGTGAGAAATAGAAAATGACAGATTTCTCTTCACAGAAATTTATTCTGTAATTTCAGATTGTAATGGGGTGATTATTTCAACAACTCACCTTGACCAGAGACAGGATATTTGATGAGGACTGCTGCAAATTCCCCTCAGGTTTATTCCTCAGTAGCCTCTATATTTATGTGTCTTGATCCAAAACCATACTAAAGTTAATAGAAGGGCTTTGGAATAGGCTTATAAACCATTCTTTGAAGGGTTTTTTTGTAGCTCCTGGATGTCATTTTAAAATGATGACTAAGGGAAAAGACAGATACAAAAGAGAAGATAACAAAAGAAAGGAATAAAAGAAAGGAAGTGAAGGCAGGAGGAGAAATTACAGCAATAAAAGACAAAAGACATTATCCATAAAACATTCTATTTTGTTTCAAACTTTGTATTAATATGTTTCATCTTTCTAATTGTTCTGTTATTTATAGCTTGTTAATTCTCAACAATATTATTTTTTTAATGCCCTTAGTGATTGTTTTTTTCGCAGTTGGAGGAATGCGGTGCAAATCTCAGACTCAGAGGCTGTATAGGCCACTATAATGAGCGTTAGCGGTCCAGGGCCAATACTCTCTCAGGGGTAGTTCATTGAACTATGAAGGCATTATCTACCAATTCCACCAAGTTAGGAACTCTAACCAGCATGGCTGAAATAGTTTCTTCAAACCAAATCACCAGCCTTCTCTATTCACATTCTAACAAGTACCTTAATATGGAAGTCTCTGTCCACAAGGATGTTTTCTGGTTTTAGGTCTTTGTGTACAAAGCCTTGCTCATGCAGATAAAGCATTCCTTCTGTGATCTCCAGCACAAAACGCCCTCTCACTGACAAAGGCAGTGAGAGCTAAAAGAAAGAACAAGAAGTGCCATCTATTAAAAAATGCAACTACAACAATCAAATGAAAACTCAGTCTTTAAAAAAAGTTCCTCAGTCTTGAGAGTACCTCTGCTTAAGCTGTGGTAAGAAAAACCTGCCTTGCCAGTGGGTTGAGGGAGTTGATTCTTGCACTCTACTCCGCACTGGTATGGCCTGACCTTGAATACTGCGTACACTTTTGGCCATCCTTTTTAGAAGGATGTAAAGCCATTAGAGAGTCTCCAAACAAAGGCACAAAGATGGTGAAAAATCTGGGGGGAAGCCATATGAGGAAGGGCTGAGGCCATTTGGTCTGTTCAGCCTGCAGGAGACTGAGGAAATACCTCATCATGGTCTACAGCTTCCTCATGATGGGAAGCAGAGGGACTGGCACTGATCTCTTCTCTCTGGTGGTCAGTGATAGAACCTGTCAGAATGGCATGCAGCTGGATTAGGCAAGGTTTAGGTTGGATATTAGCAGAAGATTCTTCACCCAGAGGGTGATTGTGATTTTTGGGGTTGTCCTGCGGAAGTTGGGCTTGATGATTTTTCAAGGTCCCTTCCAACTAGAGATATTCTATGGTTCTAAGGTCCTTCTTGGATCGAAATTTCGGTATTAAAATTACTCTAGAGTCACCCCATATTTAGCAAATTCTCCACATTATCTCTACAGCCACTCCTAGAACTTTTTAATCTGTAATTGGTCTGCTCCTCTGTGATGTACAGGAAAGCCACTGTCATTGTCTGCTGTCTCTAGAGAAGGCAGTGCTGCCACTGGCTTTTTAATACAAAAAGAGTAAGAAATGAAAGACTCCATTCTCTGGATGTGGTAGTAACATCCTGTCCCCTTCAAGCAGCTCACCAACCCTAAGAGATGAAGTAATTGACTGCTCACATTCTGTAGCACTTTCATCATGTTCCCACGGTCCACGTACTCCATCACAAGCGAGTAATTTCCATCTTCCAAAATGACACCGAGTAGCTTTACCACACGGTCATGTTGCAGTCTGCGCATAATCCTGCCTTCTTCAAGAAGGGAAACATTGTACCTGTAAAACAGAAATTGCACTGAATTTAGGTGCCAGCCTAGAAAGAACAATGGGATGAAAATCACACTACTTTGTGATGAAAACCATGGCCAAAAATGTCAACATCCCTAGAACCCCCTGCATGATTAATCATACCTTCTGCTGATTTTGAATTGATACAGATTTGTTCATGCCAATTTATGTTCTCTAAGATTCTGCTCAAATGCCTCACACAGAGACTGTCTGCTCAGTCTGATTTTAAGGCCTGCTTTTCAGAAACTGCATAAGCATTCTTTTTGTAGGCAGCTGTGGATGTCCAAATCTTTAAACTGGGGTGAGATCTGGGCAGAGATAAAAGAGCCTTGGAACAAGGAGGATCAAGATCCAGTCCACTACTTCTTGTACAGGAAACTTACAGAGGTCTTATTTCCAAAGGGCACCACGTTCAAAACAGTTTTCTTACAAGGGAACCACACACATACTAAATGATGACAGCATTTGCTAACAATTACTGGTTTAGGATGAAGTAAAAGCCTAACTCTTTACCTCAGCCTCAGTACAACCCATCAATAATCACAGGTACGTAGCTGGGAGCTCACTAAGGGTCTTAAAAAAGGATAGCATCCATTACATAATGAATAGAAGGGGTGGTGTTTTTATTATTGTTCTTGTTCTGGTCATCAGACAAAAGGATGTAAGAAAATCTTGAAACTACACTGCTTGCTAATGCTTTCCTACCCTCTGACTTAAAATGAAACTGCTTTCTCCATCTGTGTTCCTCCATATTACTAGAGAAGAAACTGGTTGTTTTGTTTGCATTAGGATCAGTTAAAAATTTGCTAAAGACTTTGGGTTCAATATTTTAAGAAATAGCAATATTATTAAATTAAAATATTTTAATAAATAAAATTATAATTATTATTATTATTATGAATCTGTGTAATGAAAAAATAAAAACAGACACAAAAATACACTTCACAGGCTTGTTGTTTTAACTGTGGTCATCCCAAACTGTCATTGTAGGCTGCAAAATACTAGAATATCTAATTTGTTTTCCACCAGCAAAATAAAAACTCAGTTATTTGTCATAACCCAAAGCAGAAAAAACATGGAATTTTGTCTCTCTCTAGTGGATGATTTACGGGAGAGTTTTAGGATTGTGTTTCAGATTGTTTAGGGCTGTGAAGTGGTAGAGCTGCAATGTGACCTGAGTCCACTGAAATCAACAGCTAATTCAATCTTTGAATTAAATCAGTGGGCTTGGCTCACTCTGCTCTTTCTCAAGGGAGTGAGGGTTACTTTCGTGGTACTAACACACATGAGGCTGAAGTCTTACCAACAATTTCTGTGTGTTTAGTTCCTAGTGGACATCTACAGTTGGATAATTTCATTGAAAACATATCTGCACGTTTGAAAATACTGTGTGGCCACTGAGTTCTTGCATTTCCTTAAGTGTACAACAGTCCTCTTGACTCTTTAACAATTTGTGATAGTGGCTCACCTTGTAACAAAAACCAGGAACTTCACTGGAACTATGAGTTAAAACTAAAAAAGTTGTCTCGAGAGGGGAAAAAGACAAAATTTTCAGGACAGCTGTTACCATTGTTTTCTTTTCCCCACATAAAGTATCTCCAGAATCCAAAGACCTGAAATTATTGCACTCCATTTAGGTTTATCTTAATTGAATTTAGAGGTCTCAGACTAACTGAAACTAAAATCAGAACTGAGATCTTAACTTACTCAGTGCGCTGTGGTCCTGTATACACTTTTTTTAATACTACATATCCATGTTTCTTGTGAAAGCATAAAGAAATTGTTCCAAATCCTCCAGCATCTAATTGTTTTTTTTCAAGCAAATCCTTGGTGTTCATGTGGATGTCTTCCAGAGACATGGCTGCAGTCTTTGTGGCTTAGCAATTAAAACAAAATCAAGCACCGTTGTGCTTCTGGACCTGTAGTATAAAGGAGGAAAAAGAAGTGTCATTGTGAAAGCATTTAGCTGTTCCACTAAATAAGTGTACATTGAAGGAGTGGGACAGAAACATAAACTCTCATGACCCTTATGAATGCTGCTGGAAACCAAAAATGCTGTGGTTCTCACAGAATCAGACCTAAAGATCACAATGATTTATCCTGTCAACCCACTATATCAAGTTGATATAAAACCCTTTCTTCACCTGAGGATCTCAAAGTGCTGCTGATAAATAGTTTTTATCCATACAATATACCATAGATAGCTACTGTCCCTATACTTCACATGTGCAAAATCCAAACCCCAGAAAAATCAAGAGCTACGCTCCTAAAGGCAGGTAGTGGCTAATGATTCTGATGGGTATCTTATTTTTTAAATTGCCTGAACACAGACCTATCAGGTGCCCAGATTCTTATATGACTCTAAGCTACCTTCTAGGCATCTTTGCAAACCTAGCTCTAAAGGGTTTGCTTAAAGTTTAAACCAACCAAATAAAAGGTTCCTCTGGAGGGTGACATGAAGGACTCAGCTTCTGTGGGAAACTTACTTGCACATGAACTCAAGGAGACAAGTGCTAAGGAAGGAGTATGTATGGCTGCTTCTCCTCTGCCCATTAAAAAGAAGAGGACCGAAGAAATTGTGAAGAGGAGACTCCTAAGTGCATCAAGACAAAAAGAGAGTTTATGGGATCCTATGAAGTGGGTAAGCAATAGATTAGTAAACAGATAAGTAATAGATAAGCAAACGCCAGTGGATGCCAGAATAATTGTAATCCTTTGATAAAGCTGTGCTACTGTGAGAAACAACGCTCACTTTAAAATTTTAAAGGTTTATTAAACATTAACAGAAATACAACCGAAGACTGAATAAGGAAAAAGGACAGCGTGCTGGGAGCTGGTGACGTAGCAGCTATGAGCTAGTTTATAAAATGGCTGCTCTGCCTTTTATGCCCCTGGGGTTGCATAGGCAAGCCTGGCCCCTCCCGAAGTTTGTCAGTCAACTCTTCTTCGCCATCCATGGATGGAGGCTGCTTTCTTGCAACTTGCTTGGAGGTCAGTTGCTGCCATGCCATGCCTCTTCGCAACAAGCCTTCCCTCTTCCCAAAATGCCCCAGGCACAGGTACACGTTCTCCCTCCACATGTCCCAGCCACCAAGGCTGTCCCTTGGCAACCACACCAGGTAGGGGGGGAAAGGGGGATATGGGGAGAACAGAGGACATCTAAACAACAAAATCACAGTAGCATAACTATATATCAATAAAACTTTCTTTAACACACACATAATATTCATCCTCTAATTGTGAGAGCCAACCATTGCATTACCCATCTACAATAGTACTCTCTTGCCTAATATGTTTCCCAGGCGAGACAGCACCTGCCTTCAGCATATACCAGCAAGCTGCTTTGCTAGCACTGGTGCAAGCCAGCAAGCTCTGCTTGTATTCCCCTCGCTAAGTTTTTAACTTAAGCACCTTACATCAGGTAAAGAAAGGGTTTGCTGAGAAAAGACAAAGTCCAAGAGACTGGCAGGGCTGTTCACTTTCCATTCATCTTGGGTAACTACTACATGGAGCTGGGAGAAGGGCACCACCTCTAAATGCCACTATCAGCAACAGTAGATTGGCTCGTTTCAGTTAACTGAGAGCTCTAAATTGTGTAGCAAAGGGACTCGCAAGTTTTTTCAGACCAGCAAATGACTGCTTATTTCTGTAAACTACTGTGCACCTGTATCATCCAATCTCTAATTGAAAAGATTGCTTAATGTTGTTGTCAACATCAGCTGCAGCTTAATTTTGACTGCCTCATTACCACAGCCTCTTTGGGGAGCCTGGGAACTAAGGAGTCAGTGTATGTGGAAAGTAGGTACCTAAGGGAAGAGAGATGTTTCAGTGCTGAGTTGGAAATGGTCTGATCAGTTCAATACGGACAAACCAAAATAGGGAAAGAATAAGTTAATTTTTTAAAAAATAAATTAATTGTGCCTGTAGAGCAAGAGGTTTCTTTTCAAAGTACATATAATGACTCTACGGGCTGTTGTAGTGCAGACAGATACATACATAAAATAGACACAACCTCCCTATACCCAGAGAAGTGTCCTCTCTTCAAAGTTTTCTGCTTTGGCTTTATGGACTTAAAAAAAACGCAGGCTTTGTTTTGCTGCAGTGCTAGACTGTGTTATGAGCACAGGCCTGAGGAGATGGCTGCATCAATTTAGTAAGTTAAGTCCGGCAATGCCTAATAATGATTAGAGGAAATTTGTCTTGTTTTGTTTGTTGTTATAGGGATTTTTTTGGTGGTTATTTGTTTCGGTGTTTTTTTGGTTTGTTTTTTAAATTCCTTTACAGCAAATCAAATAGCAGATAACAAATGACTCATAGCAGTGCCATTGCTGCTTTCATCTCCCTGGAAGTTTCTGCTGATTGTTCTCTGGATTTGTTGGTGTGGTCATACTGACTTGTACAGATGGGTTGTAAATGTACAAGAGACTCAACTCAGTCATGAGAGTCAAACATGTCATAAACTAATGTCTTGCTTCTTTATCCGGGTCTCACTTCCAAGAATTGGTTTGAATTATTTATTATTATTATTTATTATTATACTAGTAATAATATTATGTATTATTATGTAACTTAATGTATGTTATTTTTTCCATGCTAACAGCAATTATGCATCTATTTAGTAGTTATAAAACTTGTACATGCTTTTCTTGGGAATGCAAAGTAGCTGGGTATTTTTGAATGGTGAATCTCTAAAGTTGCATTAATACCACTGATAGCTTGGGACTGGCATTCAATACCATACAACCTGGCAAAAAATATCTCTGCCCAAAACTGCAAGAAATACATAACCTTGTTCTTATTTACAATGCTAATTACCTTCCTACTGCCACATGTAGTCACTATAACCAGAAGTTCTGGAAATTCAAAAGAAGTAATAACTGCTAAAATCATAATGTATCTGCTGAAGTGAGCTGGGTAATGCTCAAGATGATAGAGTTTTCTTATTAGATGGGAGGACCTTCCCCATTGGGCATGGTAAGATGCTACTGCTTTTTTTTGTTGTTAATAAATAATGAGGTACTCTGAATAGAAGCTCTCTGATCTAATGACTTATTTTGAACTCAAAGTTTTGTGGATTTTTTGTTTTTGTTTGTTTTTTGGTGTTTTCTTTTTTTGAATGAATATCACAGGAAAACAATGCCTAGCCAGGCTTTAAAGCAAAGACTACATATGCCGGTATACTATTTAACATAAGATATTGGCTTATAATACCTTGGAATGTCAGATGATGAAGAACCAAGGACAGAAGCTCAAAGCCCCAGGTTCATTCCAACCTTACTGCTTCTGATTGAGACACAGGATAATTTATATGTATCTTCAGTATTTAGGACATACCAATTCATGCATTATGCATCTGTGGTTAAGAGAACAGAAATTTTGTAGCTTAATTTAGCCAACCCTTACAGAAGCTACACATACTTCTAGCGGTCACTTTACATTCTGTGAAGTAGTCCTCATCTGTATACTTGATTAATTATAAAGCAGTTTCTCCCATATACTATTCTGAACATTTGTATTCAGTTGGGTTCCTGTTTACCAAGTACCAGCATGTATTATGATAGTTTTGAATACCAGTAGCTAGAAGAGAGGAATTTCTGTCCACCAGTATGACTGGTGTTCTTTAAAAAAGGATAGAAATATGCTAAGTGAGTTGGTGGCATTTTTCTTTGTAACACCATGGTTATGTCCTCTCCTCTAACTCCTAAAGGGCATATAAATTCACAAGAATCATAACCTGGACATTAGCTCATCGGGTCATATTCCTCATCACTGTTCAAAAGTGCTTTGCTCAATTCAAACAATTTGTGACTGATCTGGTGCAGTTACATCAGATCATTAACAGATGTGACCTGCATGGTTAAGGAGGAGCGCTGAGCACATTGGCACAGTAATATGAAAAAACACTGATTGCAGCCTTTATAGTCTAATGATGCTCCCAGCACCTAAGTTCCTAAGAGGTGCTACAAACTTTAATTGGAGAAAGTGAGCACATTTACAAGTAGCAAAACTCATGGCCACCGAGTTGTCAGTCCATAATGGAAAAGAACAAAGTACAGAAGCCAAAGCTTGCTACAGAAGGGTTGCTACAGCTGAAAAATATTGCCTGTGTCAATGATGTTTCAAAAGCTGTTAGGGTATCTCCGATCTGTAAACGTCATAACCCACTCCATCTAAACCTTTCCTTTCTGGTCAGGTTTTTCAGCTGATGAATCTTTTCACTAAGGAATTATCTTTTTTTTTTTTTTTTTTCCCTTTTGGAAATAGCAGAGAAAATACCTGTGTCATATCGTCAGCATGTTACAGAAAGGATCCCGTGGGAAGGGGAGGAGAAGCCAATACAAGGGAAACAAAGGTGTTACGCAACACACATTTTCACAGCAGCAAAGGCAGCGTGGGAAGAGGAAAGGATGGGGGTCTGTGCAGTGGCCTGTACCCGTGCAAAGGTGTTGCAGTCGGTTCTGGTCACAGAAGCATGCGTTCCGTATGGGAATCGGGAAGGCTGTCTCGGCCGAGGCGCCAGGCCGGCCGTAGCTGTCGCAGACGGGCGCCGCGGCCGCTCCCGCTCAGCCCCAGCGCGGCCCCGCTGCTGCCCGGCCCGGGCAGCGCCAGAGGTGTCCGCTCGCCGAGGGGCCGGGAAGCCCTAACGCGGGGCTGCTCTGGCCTAGTTCCTCCTTGGCCAACTTGCTATATCGCCCTTCTCCTCCCGGCGGCTTCCTGCCGCCGCGGCCGCCTCCTCTCGTACGCACCGCTCCCCCGCCCGCCGCTTCCCCTTCCCCGCGAGCCCCCGGTGCGGGATAGGACAGGCGGGATGGAGCGCAGCAGCCCCGCCGGGCTGTCTCGCCTCGGAGCCCATCATCCGGGCAGGCCCCCGGGCACCGCCACTCGGATCACGCAGCGGCGGCGACGCCTTCGCACAGCGGGGTCTCCACCGCGGTTTCGCTTTCGCTGCAGCGGCGCGGCCCCTCCCGCTGTCCCGCTCCGGCGCTCCTGCCTTACCGCGCTCTGGCCTCTCAGGGTCCTGCCGCTTCCCCGGGCGCCGCCGGCAGCTCACCCCCAACCCGCTGAAGTGACGCCTCGGGCTCCTCTTCACTCGGGGCGGCGGGAGGCGGAGCGAAGGAGGCGGCTGGGCAGGCGTGGGTGCCGCCCGGTGACTGAGAAACTGGCTGAGCTGCCTGGGCGCTGCCTTTGGAGCCACACCGCGCTTGTGTCACCGCTCGAGCTCTCTGGGAACTCGCATCGGTGCCACACCGTGACTGTGTCACTGCTCGAGCTCTCTACGATGTCGATCTCTACCCACATGGTGGCTTGTCACTGCCTGAGGTCTCCGGGCATCAGGAATCTTGAAAGCCTGGAGATGTTATCGAGACTGAGAGCAGCTCAGAAAGGAGTTCGAGGCATGTTGGAAATGCCTTTGTCTATGGAAGATTTGGCGCTGGATACGTGAGGATCTTTTGGTTCAGGAAGGGCGGAGGCAGGAGTTTGTTTGTCAACAGAGTCACTGTCACATGTCAACAGTCCTGGGGACGGTTGCAGGAATACATAACCAAAAGGATGCCCATAAATCACCTAGCTCAGCCTCCTTCGGAGTCAGGTGTGTAGTTAATACAGCTTCGTAAAATAAGGGCCATACCTTTGCCATTCTTCTGTGAAAAGCATGGTGATGATTAGTATCTAATATCTTTATTGTGGTCTTTCCCATTCTGGGGAGCTATTGCATTCCCTATGGTGCTTTAAAGTGGCAATAATAGAAGAGCAGCAGCAGATCGATGTGGTAGGACAATAGCAGCCCACAAATTACGTTTTTAATTTCTCCTTTGGATGGTCAGCAACGCAGTATGTGAGCTCCTAAACCATGCATCTACCCTTCTCCGCTCTGCCAGGGGTGGCACTGTCTGCTTTGTGCCTTGTGCTGCTGGCCCACCCGTGCATCTGCCGGGAGCAGGGGACTCCTCCCTTCCTGAAAAGCTGTCTCTTGGGAAAGACAGGTGGGACACAGAAGGATGCAGGCGGATGGGGGTTTGGAGAGATAGGAAGGACAGCCTTGGTGATCACTTTCAAGGTGAAGTTTTCTCCCTGAGTATCAAAACTGCCATGTGTTGGACAAACTGAATAAACAGCTCCTTCCTAAGATTTTGCAAAAAAAGCCAACAACCCAAACAAACTG